TTTCTTGTAAAGAGCTCTCTATGAGCACACCAACCTGCCGCGCACTCACACCCACACACAAAAGTTATGCAATGCGGCAATTAGTTTGTTGTTCTTACACCCGCTATACTGCGCATACTTGGTTTTTGTTTTTGCTCTAGCGGTGCTTCTTTTGTGTTGTCGTTGTTGTTGCAGCGCTGTGTGTGTGGCATGTGCTTGTGGTGTTGGTTTACTCGCTGGTGTATTGTAATTACCGCGAATTTTCGATTATTAACGGTGCGGTTGATTTGCTCATTTGCTTAGATTGCGGTTGTCTATAAGCATTTATTATTAGTTTAATGGTTTCTGGATTTTTATTTTTTATTTTTTAGCATTTTTGTTGCACAATAATATTCATAGAGGCGCTGCATTTGCGTTGTAGTTCAAGGTGGCGAACTTGAATTCAGTCAAACTCTATTTGTTAAGGTGTGGTTAAGTGGAAGTGAAGGTTTCACCCAAAGTTGCAAGTTTATTTGCATAATCAAAACACTTCATTGAAAATTGTGAGATTTTTTTTGTATCTAATTTAATATTAAAAGTTATATAATTTGTTTGCAAAATATTTTTATGAGACAATTGAAAAATGAATGTAAAATATCTCACTGGAATTCTTGATAGATCTATCTCCGTTGTTGTTTTTGTACCATAAAACTTTTCTGTATACATAAAAATTCTGATCCGTTTTGTTGACATACTAGATCCAAATGTCATGTGAACAATTAGGTTGGCAACTCTAAATGAGTGTTTTGAAAATAGATAGGAACTTTTCGATTCATAGATACACATTTATTCAACCGTCCGATTTCTTACAAAAATATTATTATTTCTTGCAGTTTTTAATTTTTATTGAGTTTATTACTTTTTTTGGGTTTTTTTTTTTGAAATAAAGGCCAATCAATAAAATTTAACCTCTGTATATTTTTTCGGTTTTTGTTATTTAAAATTGATCCCATTGCATTATTTCTTCGTAGAAACCCTTAGTTATCATTGTTGTATACGATGGCACTTTTATAATTAATAAAGTTATTTAATTTTCTAATTTTAAAATTATATTATATAATATATTATAAATATACATAATAATTACAATATAATTTATATAATATATAAATTATTGTATAATAATAAAATCAGGGGCATATTCCTGTACTGTACAGTGTACCTTCACTGATAAGTTATTTATTGGAAAAATGTTTTAAGCGAAACGTATTTAAATGCTGACATACACAAAAAATTTTATATATACTACATATATTAGGGTGAGTAAAAATTACTAACCTATCGAATTTACGGGTTAAAATAACCGTATATACTCGTACAGAAAATATATTCCTGCAAGACGGAATTTTTAGCATAATTTTAACGATCGATGAGCATTAAAAAATTTCCAATTCAAAATCATGTAAAATATCTGTTTTCTTGTAGAGCATATAATTTTATAAAAAACTCTATCCAAGTGCGATTTTTCCCATTAAAAAAGTCCTATATTAAAAAGCGCTTTTAAAATCATTTAAAAGTCCTTATAGGTAAATTTTCTTTTCTTTGTTCATTTGAGCTCATAAATTCGATAGGTTAGCTTTGTGGTTCATCTTAATGCACATATGCGAGTAAGCGCAAAAATATTTATATTTACCAATAAATACACACATCTACTTACAGTGTGTCTCAAAAATAACCGAGCTTTTTATTTACAGTCACATGAATATAAGAAAATGTGTGCCAATATTTCATTTATTTAAATCAAATGTAAAATTTTGACTTATGGAGTAGTGCTTTGAAAATGGTAAAAAATGTAAGAATTGAAACTGATTGGAAACAAAAATAAAATAAAAAAAATTTATGGAAAAATAATTTATAGCCGGGTCGGGAAGCGGAAGTGGAGAGGTGTGGTTCAATCCTCAAATTTTATGTGAAAAATTGAAATAACCCAGTTTTTGGGTTTTTATTTTTATCTTTTGCAAGCAATTTTTTTCTTACAGGAAATTTGGTGCAAACTAACTTTCTTATGACCTAAATACACTGTAATTTTTATCTAAAAATATTGTTAGACGCATACTGAAGTTTATACGGATCTATGCGATTTAAAAATGGTCATGCGGATTTAATTGACGAACAAAGGCCAGATCGTTGACAAGCTAGTAATCGTGCTGAACTGTGGGGACAATTATTGGTATCGTTGCAAATTTTACTACAATAAGGTTAGCTTAAATACAAGTAAAAACACTATTTGGAGAATTTTAACTGAAGAGTTGTGTAAATGAAAAGTCTATACGCGTTTTTTTTCACATGAATTAAAAGAAAATCAAAAAAGTTAATGAGCAGTAAACGGATTTGTTTCATCAAACAACTTCCGTATTCACCTGGTTAATGACTACTTTCTATTTTCATGATATGCCCGCCATTCAAGCAGCCGTAACCGAGGTGCTGAAGAGCAACCCTATAAAGGAATACATAATATATTGTAAATATAAAAAAATGTAAGCATGCTCTTGTTGATCACTCCAAACATTGTATTGAGTCTAATGCAACCTATTATGAACGAATAATAACTTTCAGAGATAATATATCCGATATATATATGCGAAAAGTTCGGTTATTTTAAGGACACACCTTGTAGAAATCAATTGTAAAAGAGAATGCAATTGTACCAACTGCGCTTTTATATTCGCTTTTTTGCGGTATAATCAGCTGATTTGCATATTTTCCCATATGCAATAAAATAAATCAATTCTCAACAGTTATGAGCTATAATTAAATCAAAATAAATACCTATATATATTACATAACAATATTCAAATGCTTAGATCGGTGATTAAACCAATATTGTACACTAAAATTCAAATTTGAATTGGTGCGCCGGTGTTGAGTGAAGGGAAGTGAAGTTTGACAGAACTCTATTAGGATTTACGTTGCCGGACTTTAATTTATTTATGATTATGAGTAAAGGCATGATGAAGCAGAATAAAATGGAAATAATTTTGTTGAAGTTTGCTTTTGAAATTCGATAGAAAGCACACAAATCGGTAAAATCATAAAATAAACTGATGGTTGGACCAAGTTGGTTACATGTTTAGTTTAGATATATTTGTATTCTAGATTGAAGGTCAAATGCAATTATATTGCTGTTAAGTTGGCGAGGTACAAATAAACAATAAATTTAATGTTGGACGGTATATAAATAGTTAGTGGACGCTATCGTTATCATGGATACTAGTTAAATAGAAAACACCTTGGAGTAAATAAAGAAACATCAGGGCCTCTATAAATATGGTATATACATATATAGCAAGTTTATGAATTCATTTAACTAAGCGACAAGTAGTAAAATTAAGTGAAGTAAATTCTTAAAATATTTAGTGTGTGAACTTTTGAACTAAGCGCCAACAGTTCAGAAGTACGATTGGATTGAGAATGATAAGTGTGATTAAGCACTTTTCCACTGTCATTTTAAGCCTGATAAATTCCCATTAAATCCCCTAAGCGACAAGGCGAAATGAACTATTTACTAAATGAACTATTAATGTAATTATTAATAATGTATAATGTTAATAGTTAAAGCGGTGGTTTACTTGACATTGCACTGCATTGCATTGAATTGTATATTAGTATGATATGTAATACCTCCCTAATAGTAAGTATTGAACTTTAATAATAGCGAAACAAGAATTCGTGATATTTTGCAGTTAAAGTTTATGCACATAAAAACTAGCTTTTATTCATTATATTGATCATAATGTTCTATGTGTGTATATGTAAATTTCTGTTAATTTATGAGATATCTAAACTGTTAATCCGATTGAGGATATATCTATATATTTTAAATTTCTTACCCATATGGTAATAGAGGGTAATAAAGGGAATTATTTGAATTTAATTCTGTATCTCGGTTAACTTAACCTGAATAAATTTTTTGGAATTTCCAAAATACCTTTGATAAAAAGCTTTCATAAATCTGATTACTCTTAACACTTTAAAAAAATTATTTAAAATTTAAGCATTCTGATAAATCTTAATGTTTATATTTATATTATAATATTCTAATATTTTATTTACTTTTTCATTTATTCAATTAAACGATCAATATCTTTAAGCAGTTGGCAACTTTTTAAAAAAATTAAAAAGCACAGATTTTGAAAATACATAGGTCTGATAACTCATTATATTGTTATTTTGTTTTATTTTACAAAAATTTCAAACATTTGGCAACTCTCCTAAAATATATAGTGTACGTTTTTTTAAACATTAGTTTGATAAGCATATTGTTTTGTTATTTTATTGCGTTTGATATATATTTTTTAGTACAAAATGTTTAAACAGGTGGCAACTCTACTCAATAAGATATAAAAATCTAAGCATTCTAATATCTCTTTATGTTTATGTTTTTAATTTGCAACCAAATTGATTGAAATTGGTTTTTGCATTTGCAACCAAATTGATTAACAAGCACAAATCTATTGGATATAAACCTGAAATGACAAATTTTTCATTAACTTTGACGTAGTAAAAATATCATATTTTGGAGTAATTAAAATAATGGAGAAATCTTTAGTAGGTGTAGGCTTTTGACTACAATAATGATAGCACTGTGATACGACTGTGATAAATAACCGAAATTTGGTGTTTTAAAGCGCATTCAGTAATAAATTCTTTGCCAGTTGTTTCATAACGTTGATTCTTGGTGGGATTAAAGAAAATTTATTGACTGGAAGTATATGGTAGTTATTTCTCTTATGTTATAACCTAATACACACCAGGGTCCCTAATATAATAAAATGTAAATACCCCATGTGTGTGAAAAAACTTATGTTTTTTCGACTCTTTCATTAATTATATTCATTTTAACACATAACTGTACTCTTATTAATTTTAATATTTGCAATTATGAATTAATAGTGGTGTAAATCCCCGATTTTAAAACTCTTAATAACCACTAATTTTTATTACTATTTTTATTCAATTTATGTTATTGTTATGTGACTCACCTTGTTGAAAATAATTGGCCTTACGCACATAGACACACACCAATGCCATCAGCTGTAGTTGTGATAAGCGCTGACGCGTCGACTGCGGCAGCGGCAAAAGGTCGCGCAAATTGGCGATTTCGGCGTTGATTAAATCACGGCGCAGCTTCGAGGCACCCTTGGTCGATTTATTGGCGTCAAACCTAAAATTACAGAAAAAAAATATTGTTTTTTCATATACGTATAAATACATAAAAATTCGGGTTGAAAAAATTACCATTTTTTTTAAATAATATATATGTATTGCTTTCGTTTAAAGTTTTCTTCAAATTTTATTATAATATTTTTTAAAATAATTTATCTATGAAAGCCTTGCACACGCCGTGCCACCAACACTCAACACTGCCCAAGGTTGCATTGCCTTTAATCAATCAAATTAACTGTTATTTCAATCGGCACACAAAAACGTCAATTAAGTGAAAGTTTATGACTTTAGTGTGTAATCAATTTGTATGAGTTAACAATAAATATTGTTTTTCCCCCATTTTATAGTCGTTTTTTGTTACTGTGTTTTTCATATCGCACTTGCAATAATTTATTTATATATTTTATATGCTAATTATTGCACCCTACACAGTGAGAAAGAGTAAGTAGACGTTTAACGAGGCACAACGCTAATTACAGTTATTTATGCGTTTGTATAAAATGAATAACAAATAATTACAAGGAAATCGCTGCCATATTGCACTGACTTTATTTAATTATTAACTTGAGCACATATTCATTTTCTTTTATTGAGTATTTATTAATTAATTTTTATTGACAATTTATTTATAAAGTTTTTATTGACAATTTTTTTATGCAGTTTTTTATTGGAAATTTATTACAGGCGGTACAAGCTTTTTGTTCTATAGTAACCATAAATATTTTGTTATCTGTGGTATATGTAAAATTGTTTTTTATAATTTTGTTAGGTTACTACTGCTCAAACGACTTAAGCGACGAATTGGCATGGGAAAACATTCAATTCAGTCATTCAATGTGGTTAGTCTGATGACAAGTCAATAAATCATGCATTTATTTTTGAAGCAGTTACTAGATCTGAGTATATATAAGCAATGTATATAAACATTTTCAGAGAAATATTATGAACGTTGTCGTATTAGGCAAATGAAATTTATGCGCTATAAACATATGTAAGTATATGCATACTGTAAAGTTTAAAATAAATAATTTATTAAAATCATTAACTTTTCTATAATTTTTATGATCAAAAAAAGCCAAATGTAATGCCTTTCGCCCCTATAACTGGCCATTAATTATACTTATCAGGCATGTAATTCGAATCCTTAATGAAATTCGATCATATTGAATAATAGTTAATCTAATTAAATACGAATATGTGCATTTTTGTATAAGTATAATGACAATATAAGAAAAATTAATAGTTATGATAGATATGTGATTTATAAGACCCTCCTCTCTTCACGTTGTGTTGTCGATTGTGTTTGCGGCAAGAGAGGTCTAAATTCGGATTTTTGGCTCATGTTAGTCCTTCATCTTGATCTACGAATACATATTACCACGCGCAATGTTTGTGTATCTTTATAAAAGTTAATTATTTGTTTAAAGCTTTTCAACATATAATCTGCATGCAAAAATATTAGTGTGGTACAATCAAATATTTTTTATTTTTGCATTAATTTTAAGATTTTACTTAGCATAGTTAGAGTTATCTGATTTTAGTGAAATACATATTCATAATTTTGTTCGATGACTTGTTGCCGTTTTGTAGGTCATTTCATAATGCCACTTTCACAGAAACCACCGTTCCTATTGGTAGAAAACTAGTATATCCAATTTTCATAAGCTTCTTTTGAGATTAATTTTTTACCAGCAAAAATATTCGCTATAGGCAGAAAGAGATAGTTATCACTAGGACTGGACTACAGGGCAGATGCATAAGAACCTCCCAATCAAGTTTGCGGCGCTTCTGCTGAGTAACTATCGATGGGTATTACCTGGCAATAATCTGATGTAACACAATTCTTCTCATATTGCCTAAAGCTGGTCAATTTTGGGCGATTGCTTACTTCAGATGATCCAATTGATGACAGTAGTAGTAAAAATAGAATATGGGGATTTTAGTTTCTGCGGTTTCACAATGGGTTCCCAAAGGGCCAAGGTGCGTCGTCAGACAGTCACTCTATCGACCTACCTATCTAATAATGGCCATACCTACTTAAGAAATTTCGAAGTTATAAAAAATACTTGAAGAAAGCGGCCTCTTTATTTACACAGTGATAAAATGTTTTCGCAAATACATCGAGTAGAATATTATTATATATAATAGAAGCTGCGAACTTTATTTTTATTTATTTATTTTTTTTTTTTTTTTTTTGAGGAAATAATAATCATTTACGAACAAGAGGCTGAAAAGACCTTTTAAGTTCAAATTCGTTCAATTTTGATATTAATTAACAGTTCACATATAGCATCCGGTTATGAAACAAAATTTTAGTTGAAATAAGAATTTTTTCAACGAGCTTTACAAATACTCATTGTGTTGCATTTGTGGATGTGTATTGTATTTGATGAGAGTAAGATTCCGTTTAAAAATCTTTGGAAATTTCAAAAAAAAAACAAAAAAATAGTGAAACATTCTTATATTTTAATTCGGTTTTCAGTTTTGTGGCAGGCAAGAAGCTTGCATTTTTTTCTTATACTGTGTATTTTCACTCGAAAACTATTTTCACTGAAAAATAGTTAGTAGTTTAGTTTTATTATGCTTGCCATTTGGTACTTACCAGATACTAGATCTTAATCGAAATTGCGCATTGTTACAACGTCGCTTGCTGCACATCAGCTGCTGCACAAGTGATGATCATCAGCGATGGGCGCTACATAATCATCTAAATGCACATCAGCTGGCGTATACACCAAAGTTTAGTATGCAATAAAAACAATAACAACAAAAACAAATATGCGCGCGCACACAGGTCAGCTGGCAGGCGAGCCGTGTCAAGACACATGCACACACAAATGTTTAGAAGCGCAATTATCAACAACAACAACGACAGCAACAGCGACGTGGGTTGTGCGCAAGCGTGTGCGCTTCTTCAGCAACTGTTGCGTTGCTGCTTGGCGGCTGCGGTTGCTACTATTGTTGTTTGTTGCTGCTATTGTTGTTGTATTTGTTTTTGTTGCCTGTTCAAATAATGCATTTGCTGCACTTAAGTTGTTACTCATCTGCCGCTTAACAGCCCATTTCATGCTTTTCAGCATATTTGCTGCCTTACATACATACATACAGACATAGGTATGTAAATGTATGTGTGTTTTAACATTAATTTACAAAAGTTTGTGTGTGTTGAAATTATTCGTGCTTTTTTTCATTGTTGCTGCGCGATTTGGCTTTTGGTTCGCCGTTGCACACAATTCTCGGAAATGCAATTCAATCTTCAAGTGAAAATCTACACTCAGCGCGATGAGCACAGTTTCTAACCTCCCATAAGCCCTCCAGCCCTCACTCACCACGTAGTACCAGACTCTGTACTACAAGCGCTGCCACAGGGAGACGCGCTGCAAATAACTACTTCTATGACTATATAGGTGTGTATATATGTATGTATGTATATATGCATGTATATATATAAGTATATATGCATATGCATATCTGCTGGCGCTATGTGCTTTGTCCATCTTTACGATTTCTTTTCTTCATTCTATCAGTTTGGTTACCGAAGATCTTCATCCACTAAGATTAGCATATTTTGTTACTGTTGTTGTTGTCGCGATCACTTAAAAAATTTTTCCAGCAACTATTTGTTTAAACATTTCGTATTTTATTTTTGTTTTATTTTAATTTTTTTATTTTAATTTTTTGTCATTATTTTCCTTTGTTTTTGTTGTAATTTGTTGCATCGCACAATGTTAGTGATTTGTCAGTTGTCGTTGTCCCATTGTCGTTTCGTTTGTCGTACTTTGCGAATTTGCGCATTTACGTCTTTAATGTGTAGAAAGTTAATTTATCATTTGTCTTTCTTGTTGCTGTTTTCTGGCTATGAGGAAATCGCCATTGCAAATATGTAAATTAACTTTAGTTAATGTTTGATTTAGTTAATTTGGGAAAGCTTGGTAGATTGGCGTGATCTAGTGATGTTGAGATTTGCAAAAGGGGAAGATCTTAGCAAAAATATGTTAGAAAACTTAGCTAAATTTTTTTTTTGAATTCTAAATATTTTTTGTTCAGGAATTTGGATAAAGTTGTTAGTACCGGTATGAAAATTATTATTTTTTTTGGTTTTTTGAAACAAATTATTATTATCGCTTTTTGCCTCTAAGCAAACCAGCAAGTAATATAATTATCAAAGCCATCCTCGACCGTAATACGTCTAGTTAGATGGAGCTAGAGAGACCAGCTGGGACCTGTTTTCAATACAATATAATCACATGAGCGGCAACCACGGTTTGCTAGAAATTGCATATACTTAGATCCAGTAATAAAATAGATGTGAATATACCCATATAAACATTTTCTTTTTTAACAAACCGGCAACGCTTTTTAACAAATATATTAATAAAAATTAGTTTTTTACCTTTTCTTTGCAATTTCCAACATACATTGATATTTTTATTTGTATATGATAAATATTTTTAGGGTTGCCACGTTATTGAAATTTTGTGAAGACTAAAAGATCTTAATTTTACTTTTATATTCTAGAATGTCATAGACAGTTGAGTAAATTTTATTAAAATGTAATAAATATTTTAATTAATATTTCTTGCATTAGGTTTCTTTCGCTAAAAAAGCGAAATCTTTGTTTCTTGACACTTTTAAATACGAGCTGTGGCAAAAGGTGAATATTTGCTTTCCTTCAAAGTAATCCCCCTCGGCTATAGCACACTTGTGCCAACGCTTTTTCCTATCCTCGAAGCACTTCTGAAATGCAATTTTCTGTATCGCCATAAGCTCTTTCTTTTATTCTGACTTGATCTCACTAATTGTGGCAAAACGCTTTTCCACTTATAATCATATTTTTGAGACAAAGTGGACTCACCGAATGTCACAGTCAATATTGCAAGTGCCTTGCAGCACTTTATTCCATTTTTATAAACAAAATTTAATACATATTCTTTGATCCATTTCTTTCACAAGTCAAAAATCGAAGAGCACACAAAAACGTGACTAAACTTTTCTGTTGTCAAAAACAAACTGTTAACCGCAATTGGGTCCTAACACAAGCACTTGATTAACATATGTGTCCGATTATAACAAAAACCAAATATCGATAATCGAAAGTACACATCCCGCGAAAAATCAAAATAAAAACTCAGAGTATATTTAGTTTGTCATGCCTTATAAACGTCAGAGACCTTATATACTTTATAGTACATATATAAATGATCAGCTTGACGAGCTAACTCGATTTAGCCATGTTCGTTTGTGTACCAGTCCGTTTGTCCGTTCGTCTGTAGATATCTCAGTTTTCGAGAAATCGATCTAAAATTTTGCACCCGTCGCTTTCTCACGGCACATTTGTCGGAACAGCTGATATCGGACCACTATAGCATATAGCTGCCATACAAACTGAACGATCGGAATAAAGTGCTTGTATGGAAATCTTTTGTAATTGACGAGAAATCTTCACAAAATTTGTTATAGATATCTAAAGAACTTTTCTAGATCGGAATACTATAGCGAATAGCTGTCAGACAAACTGAACCATCAAAATAAAGTTCTTGTACGGAAATTTCATTATTTTGTAGGGTATTCCAGCTTCGGTGCAACCTTGTTTTAATTAATTCTATTTTTAGTTTTTAGTCCAAATATGGTATATTTGTTATTAGGCAATCATAACCAAATAACTTTTCTTATGAAATGTATTGATATTTTTGACATCTTACATTATTGTTTCATATGAAATTTTCATATATTTTGTACATGTATTCCCCACAATTATTTGTTTATGTTTATTGTACTGTACTTAAATTTTTTCGAAATGCACTTAAAATGTTTTGTTTTTATTCAAATAAAATATTTTAATTTATAAAGCCATCATTTTAATTTAGCCAGATTTTATTTAAATATAAGTGGTAACCCTGTATAAGAGATTTGTTAATCAAGTTGCTTAACGATATATATATGTATGTTTATATATTTTTTATTTACATAAACATATTTAATAAAATTAACCATGTGGCAACTACTCACACGAATATTTTTTATCTGATTACAGACAGGTAATCATTGTTTGAAATCATAAAATATCTAAATCATAAATGTCTAAATATCAATAATATAATCTGTATATAATACCAATATTTGGTCTAAGAAAATTTTTAAAATTACCATCAAATCGACAAACTCATATTCATTATAAAATTATTACTTTTAATATTTGTATTATTAAGAATTTTATTCACAATATTTCTTTTTTGTAAGTGATATACAGATTGTGTTCTTCATTGTGCTCTTGAACCATTAAGTACTAATTTCGAGCGGGCACTTTTCTGCGAAATTAATTTAGGCAATTCCAGCATTTTTCAATTTCCACAAATTCCTTGTGGAGCTTCACACGCCTCCTCCGCTCTCCACCTCCGTAGCTTATGGTAACCACCCACAAGTGGCCTAATTACACAAATTTGTGCTTACAACCCATAAAATAAAGTAATTTAAATTGTTGCTTTAAGGCAAGAAAAAAAGGCAACAATAATAACAAACACAACACAGACAAGAAGAGTGACTTTGGTTGCCAGGCACAAACGTTGCCAGTACAATCGAAGCGATTTATTGTGAATAATATGCGGAGTATGAGGAATGCAAGCAAACACACACTTGAAAAGTATTTAAGTGCAATATGCCCAACTTTTACAAACGAATTTAGCCTGCTGCAGTAGTCGATAGTAAGCCGCTTGAAGGCCTCAAAACAACCAAGCAACTTACCATTCAACTGAAGAACCAGTCAGCCACCCAGCTTCAATCAGCAGGCTCGGCCACCACCCTCTATGAGGACGTGAATTGCCACTGTGATCATATTCTGCACACACATAAAA